TTGGTTTCAGCAGGGTCTAGGGACAACTTTGGTCCAATTGCTTTTGTGCTGCATGAAGCCCCTTGGACGGCAAGTGTCTCGGATATGATGTCAGGAACCGGTGCTGCCCTTGTTTGCGGCCAGCCCAGGAGTGGAGCTGAGGCTGCAGCCCTGGGAACATGCTGCACAGGCACTGGAGTTGCTGCGCCATAATCTAGGCCTCAGCCTTGTTAGAGGAGATTTTCAGAGGTAAATGAGAGCGACAGGTGTGGTTTTATTGTTTAATAAACTTAAGTTTTCCATACTGAGCTTACATCTTCTCTGCCTTGTGATAATTTGTGTTTTAAGTCTACAATACAGAAGTGATTAACTGTGTTAAATGCAGCACTTACTTAAGGGAATGCTGACAAGTGTGACTGCCTAGGCTAAACGTCTATGTCAAACTTTGAGGCTCTAAAGCTGATACTGCAGCACACAGTGTCTCTGAGCGTGCCAGTGTGCATATGCAAATCCAGCATTATATGTAATTGATTAGCTCCTACTTTTTAGTTTAAAACTGATCTTACACCTCTTTAAGTGGATTGACATTTGTAGAAGCAAATAGAAAAGTATTAGAAAAATTGGACTAATGTCATTAATTCTTTATAGCAAGGTGTCAAGGCTTGTCATTCACTGTCCTGGAGACCTTACCAGGCTGTGTAAATTTCTGTGGTGTTCTGTAGGCTTGCATAACACCCTGTCTTTTTGATACATGTGGTTTATAGTTACCCTATAATTAATGAGACTCTACGCCAATACTTACGTACTTACTCTAGAGTACAGGTCTAGAAGATTGTTCTGTGGTATCTCTCTTAACAAAATATATCAGCTGGTAAAGCACATATTTCTGGCTCTTAGCTTTATTTTCTAGCTGGTATTTATAGCTCTCTCTTAAAATTACTTGATACCTGTGGAAGCAGAGGGGAAGTATGGAGGAGGTAGCAGCACCATGTAACAGATAAGCAGCTGGTGTTTCTTGGACCACAAATTGAGAACTGTGAATTTATGCTAAATTGTTTTAAATTAAATCTTTTAAAAAAAAAATTGTTTAATTCAGTTGCTAAAGTAATGTTAATTTCCTCTTATTTTTAGGTAACTTATGAAGCTATTAAAATTCCCAAGTGGTCTTCTCTTTCAGAGATGCATCCAGTAGACTATTACTCATCTTACACCAAGAATTGCACAGGAGAATTTACAAAGGAAGATGTGAGAAATATTAGAGCATTTTATTATGCTATGTGTGCTGAGACAGATGCCATGCTGGGTAGGTAATGTTTCACTATACAGTGGATTTTGTTATTCTGATTATTTTTTTTAAGAGAATACTGATAGAGCTGGTCTTATGGGGGAAAAAACCAAACCATAGTTCAGATCTAGCAGTAAGTCACATGGATGTTGCTTAATAAATCTATATTGATCTCAATATCTCTCTCTCTCTCTCTTAATCTCTCTATATATCTTTATATATATATA